CCCTCCCTGAACGACTCCAGGCCAGCGGCACTCACCCCAATCATTATGAAGTGTTTTGAGAGAGTGGTGCTGGCCTGCATTCAGAGCAGTTACCGGGCACCCTGGACCCCCTGCAGTATGCCTACCGGCCCAACAGGGCCACCTCAGACGCCATCGTGCCATCACTTTGACTTTGACCTATTAAATAAATGCAGTAGAGTAACAAGTATAATATTTGCCTTAAACTATGAGGTATATATAAAATACTCAGAGTAAGTACATATACCTGAAAATTGTACATAAGTACAGTTCTTGAGTTACTTTTCACCAATGTTCAGTTCACTATATTTCACAAAGAGACTGCACCATATCAGTACTGCTTCTCAGGGAGAACATAACAAAACAAAAAAACTGAAGACACTGAACGGCCCCCCTGCACCGGTGGCACCGCAGATGGCTGCCATCGGTTCTGTACTGGAAACAAATTCCTTGTGTGTAACATACTTGGCCAATAAAGGTGATTATCCTTATCTTAGGATGTGGATCCCACCCAGGACTGTAGAGCATCAAGGTGAAGTAATATTGCTAGAAATCTTGTGGGAAAAGGAGTTTACATTCTGTGCATACACATGTATTGCATATTTTGATTTATAAGGCTGATTCAAAAAATGCAACGCATACCTGGCATAGTAGAGAGGGCTTGGAAAACATTTAGAGCAAATACAGAATTCAGTTGGTGGATATTCAAAATGGCCCTTCCACATCGATCAAAGTGATTGTCAGAGGTGGTATATGCTTAATCTATAATGCATTGGTTTCACTTATGAGTTTTACTGGGTGGTTTGTAAATTGTAATCTTTATTGATCAGACCTCTACACATTTTTCCCTATAAAGCAGGAGCATGGTTATAAATTGAGATATGGCACACAGATAATGAAGGTTCTGACTGAGACCGCAGCTGGAGGAGAGATTAGTTTGAGCCATAAAACTTCTCTTAATAGAGGTTAGACTGTTCAGCAACCCTTCTATTCTCGCTCTTCTTTCTGTATGTATCAAGCATCTGAGAATTTTGTGTGTACACCCAAGAGTTTCAATATGTCTATGATGTAGTTAGAATCAGATGATTACACGGAATACAACAGCAATGAAAACTGCAAACCTACACGTAGTGTTGTCAGTGCACCTTTAGGCCTTTTTGACAGGAAGTTCAGAGGAAAAAAGCGGTCGCACACCCTGAAATATGTGGTTTAGGCAGAAGAGTGATGAGTAATAAATGAGATAAGGGCCCAGAGAAATTTGGTGACTTCAACCAATTCAAACTATTCAACCAATATTTTTAATTATAAAAAATATAACATGTCATCAACGCTATCCCTTACAAAACACCTCATTTAAAATTTACATGAGAGGTAAATATTTGACTACAGCAGAGCGGTGGACCATCCCAGCAGCCACTGTGACTGCAGGATCAACATTTTAGTACAGACACAGAAACTACTGGTTCATTCACTGCAGCTGAGAGCAAAGCAGGCAATGGGATCATAATAAATTCCTCGTCCACCCTCTGGAGAGCAGAGCTTGGCTGCGAGCCCATTCAGACAACATCAAGCATTGTGTGGCGTGTGTTCAAGCATGCTTTGATTCTGTTATTAATCATGTCGTCTCAATGCTAAATGTGTCTGAATGGACATAAATGAAGCAGTAGTACTTGGCTGTTTTCTAGAGGAATCAATTCTTTTTCTTTTGGAGAGCAGTGTTTGTACTGATAACAGGTCTGTCACACACCAAACTTCTTGTTGGTCACTAGTCTTCGTCTTTAACAACTCAGCCCTAGCTGAAGCAGGAAATGCTATTTCTGTCTGAAGCAATACTAGACTAATTATAACAAGCAAAGCTATGTTAAATGTGACACGTTTCTGCTGTCACAGTGAGCCAGCATTTCTCAGATGAGACGAGCTCTAGATGAACTGCACCACCACCCAAGTTTAAACAGAAAGAGGAAGGAAAAGGGTGAGTTAAAGAAAGAAGGGAAATAGTTGTTTTCATATGTGAAATGACATTGTTTCTGAAGGAACACCATGTTATTTCAGGTCACATTTATACATGGTAACATTATCTTCCATGGATTTCCACAGAAATCAGGCCTTAACCCTTACAGCAGTGTGGAGGTCAAACAGAGTTGTAGAAAACATCTTTACTTCTCTTCTTCCCTGCTTTTACCATCTACAGTGGAGTGTCTTTACACACAAACAAAGCATGCCACAGTTCTGTCTCCACCAGAGTAAACAGAGCTGTGAAGACTTCAGGCCAGCAGTTTTCTTCTTCCTCCCCCTCACTGTCACCTGACTGATGACATCACCACCAGTTTGTGTCAATCCCGCGCCCTACAGTTCACATGTACCAATGTCGCAACAATAAAGTCACAAAGAGAAAAGGCTGTGTGAAATTGTAGAAGTCACACTCTTTTAAAGTAAGTAAAAGATAAAATGTCAAATGAAAAGTGAAACAGTTTATGACACGTTATCAGAAATAGTTATAAATTGTGTTTGAGTATTTAACACAAGAACAAAATAACACGAGAGCTTATTGCATACAGTAAGATTATGGCATTAGCTTCATGATAACTGTGAAAACTGTGACAGAACACTCATTTCACTATACACTGATCAGCCATAACATTATGGCCACCTGCCTAATACTGTGCACACGGGAGTCAGTGCGACAGTTGGTTTTTCAGTTCGGGCTCCTATAATGTGGAATGGTCTGCCATGGGAGATTAGATCTGCTCCGAACCTGTCTGTTTTTAAATCACTTCTCAAAACGTTGTATCCATGGGCCTTTGACAATTTTATTGATTGATGTATTTGTTTTGACTATACATTTTTGTTATTTTATTGTGTAGATGTGTTTTATCTGGTTTTATGTATTTTTATTATTTGTTTATGTTTTACTGGAAAGCACCTTGTAACAGCAGGTTTAGAAAGGTGCTATATAAATAAACTTTGCTTGCTTGATTGTCTGTCCTGCTTCCAACACATCAACTCCAAGGACTGAATGTTCACTTATAATGTTCACTGCCCAGTATACCCCACACACTGACAGGTGCCATTGTAACGAGATAGCGGTATTAATTTCATCTGACAGTGATCATAATGTTATGGCTTATCGTGTATATAAAATAATGTAAAACCAGTTTTCTTTCAATAATAAGAATATTAATACACAATAAAAATGTATGCATCTGCATGATTTTGGGGGGTAGATGCTAAAGTTGTGCAATAGTGATTACAAAATAAAAGCACAATAGCATACGTCACTATGACATGGCTTCTTTAGTGTAATGCGAGGTTGTTGTTTTTTTTTAGAATATATATTTATCATCATTACAGAGAATACAGTCCTCCCCCTCATTACTTGCATGTGTTCACACTAAATTCCCCTCTAGGGTAGAACACTAAGTATCTGCCGAGTCACTGTAGGGTATTTCTGTGTTCATCAGTTAACTTGCACCTGATGTGGCAATTGTCATCTGTTTCATTTCTTCCTCCTCCTGACCCTGGTCACACAGGACTTCCTCACCAACACCCAGCTCCCACACCGAGCTTTTAGGCTCTAATGTAGCACATCTCAGTATGGCCAGAGCCCTTTTCCTGAAGTTTCCACACAGGCCGAGATAGAGCAGAGGCCTGAGGCAGGCATGGATACAGGCCAGAACAGATGTGACCTTCAGAGCAGTTTGCAGGGAACCTTGATTTTTAGATAAACCAAGAGGTTCCTTAGATCTGTTCCTGTAGGTGTCCACAATGAGTGTGATGTTGTATGGCACCCAGAAGCAAAAGAAGACCACCACTAGGGCTAGGATGATGGTTCTCTGCTTCAGGAGGCCTTTAGAACTGTGCCGTGGCCATAGCAGGAAACAGGAGCAGCAGATGATCAGGGTGACAACAGGTAGAAGGAAGCCCACTGTGAGGTGGAGCAGGCGTGACAACAGCAACCAGTCAGAGTAGTTGTGATCACACAGTGTATTTGCTTCTGCTTGATCCTTCTCAGCCACCAGGAAAATAAAGTCAGGGATGCTGAGGAGCAGGGAGATGATCCAGACTAAAAGGCAGCTGATATGAGCTAACACAGGCTTCTTGCGTGAGAACAGCTGTGTAGAGTAGATGATGGACAGGCAGCGATCTAGACTGATGCAAACCAGCAGAAAGATCCCACTGTAGAAGTTGATCTAGGAAAAAGAAAATGAGCATTTAAGCTACAATCTAATGTAACATAGACAGCTCCAGCAATCTTTATCAACTTTCACGTTTCCCCTACTCTGATCCCATCCTTTTGTCAATTCCCAGAAAAGTTGAAATGCCTGGAAGAATGCGGACGCCACTAGGGGATTACACACACTAGTATGAATTACACTGATCCAAATATACAAAGACTCTTCATTAAACAGGAAATAATAGCCTACGGCCAAACACAATCCACTCAGAAAGAATACTCATGGCTTTAAGGAAAAGATCACCTTTCATTATCAGTCCCTGCCTCTTGCGCACACCACTTTGTACTTACACTGAAAACGGCTCCACAGATCTTGCACAGAACAACCCCAAAGCACCATCCAGAAGGTTGATTGGCCTGTACAGCCCAGAAGGGGAGCGTCAACAGCAGCAGGATGTCGGTGACACCCATGTGGAGGATGAAAGTGTCTGATATCCTCCAATACTGCCTCTTCTGAGCCAGAACACGCAGAAGCAGTGCATTCCCCAAAAGCCCTACAACCACCACCACTGTGTATAGAGCCAGGAGAAACACAGGAACCTCACTGCCATTTTGCTCAGGGTCCTCTATATACTCATAGTCCTCCTTATAGTCATAGTCAGTCCCGTTAAGTATTCCACCAAGTATCACCTCCATGGTCTTCTACTGTGGAGAAAGAAAAGGTTACACACAGAGAAATCAAAAATGCTGCATCGCCTCAGAGGTCAGGTGCCAAAAATATCAGCTTCAGCTTCTCTCCCCCTCTGTCTGTCTTTGTATCATCAGCTGAAGTAAATCATTTAAACACTGCACTTGAAATCCCTGTCGAGCCTTTATAAACATGCTCAGACTCCCACATAACTCACATGGTGTTGTGCATGACACTGGATGAAGCAACAGTGGAGTGGACCGAAATGAAGCTTTCAGTTTCCCATAGTCATACCCACACATGTTAAAGGCTCTGACTGCTTTGTGCACAATGACTGTCACCTTTTACTGTTGGTGAAGTACATATGCAGGTATATGCCATGAAACCAGTGTTGGTAAGTGCTGAGTTAATGCACATTCATTCATTAATAAGGCTGCGCAGATAAATATGCAGAATGGCACCGTGAGGTTTCGAAACTGAGAGGTAAAAAGAAACAGAAAGGTAAAGGTTTGATTGTTATAGTGCTGCATTAATGGCTACAGCTATCTGTGCACCGAGTTAACATTTATTCTAAAAGATATTTGACTTACCATAAAGGGCTTCCGTTGAGGACTAGCGCACCTGTTGCCAGACAATACCCAAGAACTTGAAACACGGCACCCTGCTCGTATCCTGCGACATCGGGGACAAACTCTCCAAGGCTAGCTACCGTCGCAATTTTTGAAGGGAGGGTGGACGAGCTTCTGCAGAACGCACATCAGGTCCAGAGAGCGCAGACAACGCTTTCAAGCCAAAAGGAACTGGGGGTGAATCCACAAAAACACAGCGGTCGGGTAACAAAGGGAGCTCAAAACAAATAAGAAAAGTTGCGCTCGCCAGCTGAAAGTTTTACAACACCTACGTGTACGCGCACACGCAGCTTACAGTACGTTAATGGCAGCACTGTATCCTACAGCCTGCTCACACACAACGGTCGTACATTCGCTTCGTTTAACCCACACTGCATTATTGTTGACCCCGTGGCCAAATCTGCCAGCTCGCACAAAAACCTGAGCCGCCCGATGAAGTGTTTTTCAAAATATAACTCTTCATCAAATTGACTACAACGCTTACAAACAGAAATCTAAAAGTTGTTGACAAATGTACAAGGGTCTTTATTATTTTTGTGAAAATCACTGGATATCATTAAAAAACTGAACAGTCCTTCTGGCCAAAGCCATTATTGGGAAAAAAGGGTGCTTTATTTTGAAGGCCAAATTAAGCAACTTCCGTATTCCCGCGTTTCATGCCCAACTTGACGCAATCGTGTACACAAAAAGCAGAATCAAACAATATGAGCCACTTTCCACCAGATGGTGCTGTTGTGCTGTTGTTTCCAAACTGAGCGGCAGATTGATCGTGAATCGTGTCCAGCCTGCAGGATTACCCGGTTAACAGGATCGTTAAGCTGAATAATATCAGCAAGGAGTTTTTTTAACATAAATACTTTGTTGTAAGCTATTCTTCTGAGGTACTTGCAGCCTACTGTGCTTGAATATTTCCATTTTAAGCCACTTTATAGGCCTACTGCATTTTAAGGCCAAATTTTAATAAGAGATTAGAGAAAAGCCTATAAATGAATATAAATTTGTGTATAAGAATTTCTTTCCACTCTTGTTAATCATCTCAAGACCCCTCAATTTTACTGTGACCCTTTGAAGGGGTTCAGCTCCTGTTGTGCTGAATAAACGCTGATCAGAGTACACCTGCAGAGAAGTATCCTGATGATGTATATCATATAATACTGTGTTTTTATTTCAAAAATTTTATTATAAAAATCTTTGTACATCACACATTCAAAATTAGTCATGTTCATTTCCTCACAGAACACAGAGTAATGCTTTAATGTACACTGATGAGAGAACAAAAGTATCATGGAGAAAACTGAACAAAAAAATGACAATTTCAAGATGTTCAACCTTTCAACCTATGCAACTATTTTCACTGTCTTATAAGCAAAACTATTTTTACAGCAAACAATCAGAGAGTGGAATCGAATGGCAAAACGTCACTGACTGAGGATGTGAGATAAGAGTCTGACTACTGGAGCTGCAGGCTACATCTAAACTGCTGAGCAAGCTTTTCCGTGAGCATAAAGAAATCTAAATGTTTCACAAGATTTGACCTACTGTTACAAAAATCTCCAAGTTTTCGTAAAAAAAAAAAGTTAAATGACAGCATCATAGGTGGGATGCGGCATCATGTTTTTCACTAGGCCTCACCCTCATATAACTGAAACAGCACTACAGCATTCTTGAATAAAAAAAGAGAAACAGTAATAAAACAATTTGTTGTAAGCTGCACCACACAAACATTCAGATAGGGAAGCACCAGTAGAAGGAATACATCACAGGCATCTGAGAACATTTTAAAGGTTTTAATATATGAACATCTATTTTGACTTTCCTTTTCTGAATGTTTTACACTTCACTTTATATTTTTCTCTCTCACCCACACAGATGCACACAAATCTCACCTAATCTCCCTCTTTCTTCCTGTCTCTCTAACCAGTTTCACACCATGACAGAATAGGAGGTGTTTTCACTTTCCGCAGAAGCCAATGATACCACTGTTTTTCTAAGCCTCCCCTCCCTTCGCACCTTCATCCCCAGCCAACCTTTCTGTCCCAGCAGCCCCTTACACATTCTGGCCAGCTCCCTCCTGAACTTTACACCCACAAAGCCATACAGCACAGGATTCAGGGCGCAATGCGACAGCCCCACACTTTCAGTGATCACAGTTCCAATGTCCACCACATGGCCAAACTGGCAACTTTCAGTCACCACGCCCAGCTTCTGCAGACTATCTGCCAGCTGGAAGCAGTTGTATGGGGCCCAGCAGATGACAAACACGGACACCAGTGAGATGATCAGGCGAACAGACTTGCGCTTTTGGCGACGAGTGGCATTGCACAGAGACCTGAAGATGCGGATGTAGCAGTAGAGCATGATTAGCAGGGGGAGTCCAAAACCCAGAATCACACTGACAAGCTGCAGCCCCACCTGCCACTGAGTGGTGTTCTTAGTAAACCACACCTGGCACAGGAGCGCCCTCTGATTGCCTACAGTGTTCTCTTCCACTACCTGTTTGAAGGTAATGTCCACTGCACTCAGGCCCAGGCAGCCTACCCATATGAAGGCACATGCAATCTGGGCGTGGCAAGTGTTGCGCTTCCAGCCAGAGCTAACGGCGTGAACGATGGCCAGGTATCGGTCAAAGCTGATGCAGGCCAGGAAAAGGATGA